TGTGTAGCCCTGGTTGACCTCAATTTTCAGTCAGTTCTGCCTCCGTCTCCCAAGTGCTGGTATTACAGGCCTGAGCCACCATGCCTAGTTAAAATGCTCTCTGCACAGTATATATAGCTTTTGTGATGTTGGAATTGACTGTAGGTCCTCATAGCTGCTAGAAGGACTACTGCTGAGCTATGTCCTGAGTCACTAGGCAGGCTCAGCCCCTGCCCAGCCTCCACACCTGTATGTAGCAGACTGTTCTCTGCAAAGTGAGCACATGTGGTATTTTGGAGAGACGGGTGAAGTGCAAAATTTGGCTAAGAAAACAACCAGCCAAACTGGCTGCACTGCTGTGAAGGCAAGAAAAAACAAAAAAATGCAGAAAGAAAACAGGGCGGAGCTAGGCCTGGTGCTTCAGGCCTCTCATCCCAGTGCTCTGGAGGCTGAGGCAGGAAGATCAGTTCAAGATTAGTTTAGGCTACAAGAGGGAGTTGAAGGCCAGGCACCTTAGCTAGACCCAAGGACCTTAGAGCTCAGAGGCGGAGCCCTTGTCTAGTAGGTCCAAGGCCTTTGGTTAAATCCCTAGCATGGGGGAAAAGTTAGGATTTTAAGAATGGAAGGTAAATTTAGCAGAGTAATCTAGGATGTAAATAAAATGAACTAATCCATGATGTGCTCTACACAGAACAACCATAAGAGTCTGAATTTGAAGTAATAACCCTAATTTCCTGGATAAGCTTCTGGAGAAGCTACTAATGGAAAGCTGTCCAGGTAAAAGTCATGACATGTGGGAAAAGGCACAGAAAACCTAAATATGACCAGAGGAAGTGGAGAGGCTGAAACTGCAGGACAGATGGGAGGCTTTTGAAAGTGTCAAGGCAAGGTAAGTGAAAACCTAAAAGCAGGAGTCAGCACAGGCTAGGTTGAACTGTTCACATTTCAGGATGTTCTGCATGACCAAGGTGGACCAGAGACGTGAATTATTGAGCTTTGTGGACATGACTACTTGACTCACTTTTGAGCAGTCCTAGCAGAGCCTTCCATGTTTGTCAGCATTGTACTTGATAGTCTACAGTAAGTGGGATTATAAACGCCAGGAATACCACACAGGAAACAGATAACTCGCTGGCCTTGAGGAGGTAAATTCACTTCGTTACCTTTCCCTGCCTCCTACTAAGATCTTTGGGATGTCAGGGCTAGAGAGCTGGCTCAGTGGTTAAGGGCACTTACTGCTCTTGTGGAGGACCCGGGTTTGGTTCCTAGCACCCATGTTGACTAACAACTGTCAGTAACTCCCATTTCAGAGGGAGCCAGTGTCCTCCTATAGCTTCTGTGGGCATTTTATGCACATGGTGCACATACAGGCAAAACACTCATACATATAAAAGACATCTTTAAAAAAAATTGATCTTTGGAACATGAAAGTAGCATGAAAGCTCTTCCAGACTGATGGAATTACTTGCCATATCTTTAAGATGGGTGTAATGACACACATACCTGTAATAGTATTTGGGAGATGGAGGCAGGAGTTTCAGTTCAAGACCATCCTTAACTACATAAAAATTCAAGGCCAGCCTAGGTTATGAGACCTTGTCTCAAAAACCCCAAACCCAAACCAAACAACAGGCATTAAAGGGCACAGAATCTGGACTGTTTACCTAACCTGGTAACCAAAAAGTTAAAATGTAAACAAGCTCACTGAGCCATCTGCTTCTCTTGTGACCTGGGCACTTGACCTTAATCCCTCAGGACCCCACCTTGCCTGGTTGGAGAGCAGTTCTGTGAGACATCTGAAGGAACAAGGTTCTCAGAGTTTGGGTTCATTCATGGCCTTAAAATGAATGATAATCAGGCTGTTTCTTTACTCGGGCGTTACTGTAATGTAGCTTAGAAATGCTGTACCATGGGAGGGCAGGAAGAATTTTCAAGGGAGGGGAGAGGGAGAGGAGAGTAATGAGATGTAAGTGACATGAAAGCAGAATAGAGGTCTATTTGGGAAACAGGAGGGGTGAACAAAGGGAAGCAGCAGGAACAGGTAAGGGCAGTGGCCGAGAGGGCTGTATAAGAACATGTATGTGGGGCTGGAGAGATGGCTCAGCGGTTAAGAGCACTGACTGCTCTTAGAGAGGACGTGGGTTCAATTCCCAGCACCTACAAGGTGGCTACAAATCATCCTTAACTCCAGTCCCAGGGGAATCCAAAGCCCTCTGACCTCCGCAGCATTGCACGACATGGGTGCATACATACAGGCAACACACTTGTACACATAAAAATAAATATTAAAAAAGAACATGTATGTATAATGACGTGTGAAATGCCATAATAACAACTTTGCATAGTGGCAGGATCGTAGTCACTGAGGTTTATCTGAGGCACGACTTGATTATTGCTAAATGAACAAAAAGAAAAATGCAATAATGAAACCATCACTTTGTGTGCTAACATAAAATTTAAAATAAAAATTTTGCAAATGTGAAAAAAAATCTCTTTAAAAAGATTCAACCTCTTGTGGAATGTCCTTTTTTTGTCTTTTTGAGACAGGGTCTCCCTGCAGCCCCAGCTGGCCTCAAACACAGAGTATGTAGACCAAGCTGGCCTCAAACTCACAGAGATCCACCTGCCTCTGCCTCCTGAGTGCTGGGGCTAAAGGCGTGCACTAATAGCAATTTATTAAGTCTCTAGATTGGCAGGTGCTGGTGTTTTATAGAGTAGCAAAAAGCCCCATAAGTTTAACTGGTCAAGACTATAAAAATCTCTATCTGTTGAAAGACCCACCTTTCCAGTTTCACTGGTCAATCATCTGGTGATAGAACCACCCCTAGGAAGGCAGGTTCACCTTAAGTTATGCTAAATAGATAGGTGGAATACCTAGTGCGTTAATGAGATAGCGAATTTTTCTTGCCTGAAATCCCGCCTCCTAGTGCAGAACTTCTGGACTAGCCACAGTCATGTAGTCTGTACGTCTACCCACTTTTCTGAATTTTCCAGAAAAGTGTAATCTTTCCTTTTCTTCTTCATATCCCTTTTGTAAACATGCTTTCTTTAAGGCTTTGGGTTGCCCCTAGCATCTTGTGTTTCTTTAGTTTTTCTCTAAAGCTTCCATCTCCCAGCCATGTGGCTGCCAGTCAGCCTTGTCTGACCTCCATTCAGGCTCAAAATCTGCATGGCCTCATGGATTTCTTTTCTTCTCTCCTTCATTCTTCCCAAGGCAGCGGCCAAGATTACCAGCACGCCTGCCCTAAGGATTTTTCTTTAAAATTCTAATAAAATCATAAAAGCTTCTGTTTGGGTCCATTTTAAAATTTATGAATGAGACTAAGAACCCTCTAGGGGACCTTCTTTATCCCCATTTCACTTGTAGGAATCATGGTCTATATACTGATGATAGACTGGGAAATAACAGATCATAGCTTCCCTTCTCCAGTGCTGAATCAAACCAAATACCTCACAAATGTTAGGCAAGTGCTCTATTACTGGGCTGCACTCCTATCCTCTGATGTCTCTTAAAACTTTTTATTTTTTGGAATCATTTCATGTAGCTAAGGATGATCTTGAACTGATCCTCCTGCCTCCACCTCCCAAAGTGCTGGGATTACTTAACAGGTATTTTCCAAAGCAATTCTTTTGAGACAGGGTCTCCCTGTAGCTCCAGCTGGCCTTGAATTTACAGAGATCTGCCTGCCTCTGTCTCCCTAGTGCCGGGATCAAAGATGTGCGCCACACACCCGGCCCAAAACAATTCTAAAAGGAGATTGAAAATGCTCTTGATCCATTCTAATAGTGCTGTAATTAGAACATACACTATATCACTGGCCAGGTGGTACATGCCTATCATTTTAGCACTTTGGGGAGTCGAGGCAATGCCCTTGGAGGGCAGAAGAGGGCGATGGATCCCCTGGAACTGGAGTTACAGATGGTTGTTAGGCACTATGTGGGTGCTGGGAATCAAACCTGGGTCCTCTGCTGAGAGCAGTCAGTGCTCTTAACCTCTGAGCCATCTCTCCAGCCCATTTCAGGATTTCTCTATGGCCAAGTATACACAAAAGCTTAGAATCTACCTTTTCCTCTAGATTTGGAGGCTTAAACACTCCCACGAGATCCCTTCCTTTCCAGATGTACACAGCCTGAGCCTGGCTCATGAAATGCTGGTGCAGTGCTTGCTGTTTTGTAACACTGCAGTGTGGGGGCTAGAGGAAGGAGGGAGATGCTTAAGAAGTAGAATCTCCTTGGGCTGGGGAGATGGTTCAGTCAATAAAATACTTGATGTCCAAGCATGAGAAGCCAAGTTCAGATACCCAGAACCCATGTAAAAGGTTGGTTGCAGTGTCTGTAATCTCAGCACTGGCGAGGTGGGGATTGAAGGACCTCTGGGGCTTGCTGGTTCAGTGAGGGTCTCAAAAAGGAATGACTGATGGTAGACATCTGACATCAATCTTGTGCCTTCACACACACCACAGTGAACAAACGGCTATTTCCTGTTCTTTGGGGACACAGATCATTCATTTTAAAAGTCCTGACAGTTGTTTCCTAAATGTAGTGTTATCTTCTATAGAGTCAGAACAATTGATTTCACAGTGACTGTACAAGTCTTGAGGGCCCTGAATGACTTATGAGGCAAAATTTCTGAATTCTCGCACACAGGATCATTTCTTCAAACACCCAAGCAGGAGCTGGAGAGATGGTTCGGTGGTTAAGAGCACTGGCTGCTGCTGCAGAGGACCTGGGTTTGGTTCCCAGCATCCCCATGGTGGCTAATAACTGTCCATAACTCCAGTTCCTGGGGATCTGACGCCCTTTTCTAACCTCAGTGGCATTGCATGACATGGGTATATTTACATAATATGCAGGCAATAAACTCAGACACATAAAAATAAGATACACCTAAACAGCAATAAGCCTGAGGCAGATCCGTGGTACTCAGAATCAGTGACTTGCTTGAAGGCAGAAATGAGCTCTGATGGTCACAGACTCTGCTTCAGCTGTCATGGGGACAAAATTCACAATGAAGGCCAGACTGTCACGGAAAGCTTTTATTGCCACGGAGGAACCCCAGAGCCCCTGCACTGCAGCCTTAGGGTGAGAGCAGGGAGAACAGCAGGAGGGGACCCAGTCCAATATGTATGGCTGTTACCCAACTGACAGGGCACATGGTTAGGGAGAGGCTTTTGCTGGTTAGTGCATTTGCGTGTCCCAGAGTTCAGCCTTGTCTAGCAGGCTTCCCTCCAGATAAAAACAGCCAGAACCAGGACAACAGCTGCACAAACACCACCTTAAAATGGAAATCAAATGAGCTCATTACATCAGGAGGCACATTCCACCCTGATCATAAAACAAGAGCGAGAAGGCGGCACAGGCTCTACTACAGCCCTTCTCTTAGGTAATATGCTTTTAAATAAACAGACATTGGCAGGGTCTTGCCCTCTGCAAACAGCACAGAACCTCAGCCAGCTGTTAAAACTATTGTTATCTCTGTTATCTATTATTATTTGGATTCTGAACAAAATTGATGGAGTAGGAGCCAGTAGAAGAATCTTGCTTGATCTGGAAATTTTCTGTGGAGAGCCCAAAAGGTCGTAGAACCAAGTTCCCAAGATCTTTTAGTTTACCTGCAATAGAAAAATAAAAACTCAAATGAATACAGGAACAAACAGAAGTGAGAAGATGCCTTAGCTGGCCTTACCTCTTGTCTGATTACAAAGTAGAGAAGTTACAGAAATGCCTCCTGCTTTTACTAACTTCACACCTTGAGAGGTAGAGAGCTAGGAAATCCTGCAGGCTCTCTCCAGGGGGATCAATGTCTCCCGTCAAGTTGGCCAGAACTATCAAAGAATTAGGGTTTCCAGCACAAGCACTGAGAAAATCAACTGCTGCTTCCTGAGGGAGCCTGGCTTGGCTCCTCTAAAACACCTGCCCCCAGAAACCAGCAGTGCCACCTGCTGGATTCAATCCAACACATTTCTACTGAGCCTCTTGCATTTTTAAGCACATCCTTAGCCTCCATGCCACACTTGGCATTTCTTGCTCATTAGCACAGTGCCATCAATCTCAATAGTTCAGTGTCCCCTGCCTCGGCTTCAGGATTTACTTACTACTTGGGTAATCCATGTTGCAAAGCCTAAATGAAGACACATCATAAATCAGGATTCTTAATTGTTGTTTAAAGACATGTAAGGTCCATAGTGCTTGTCTATCAAGCTGGAGCCTCAAGATTTTGGAGATCCATGGGGCAGTGGGATGGAATATTATTTAAGACTAGGAAGGTTTTTGGGAAATCTTGACTGGGATGGGAGAATACAAAATTTAACCTTTCTCTACTATGTTAAGTCAGCTTCTCTGTCAAAAGCTATAGACAGTGAGCACTTCCGGACATGGATAGAGTGAGCAAAGTGTCCTCCAGCTCACTGGACACCACAGTCCAAGGATTTTCCTAATTAGAACAATGGGTTACCCACTACTCACTTGCAGCACCAGAGCACCCCTCACAGCCAAAGCGGCCATGTTTAGCCCCCCAAGTCTCCTTCCCAAGTTCCCACTTGCTATCAGCATTTTCCACCCTGAGTCCCTCACCAGAGTAAAGCCCAGGTGAAGAATTTATTAAGTTGCATGATGGTCTTTACAGTGAGAACTTATGCACTCTCTCCTGGGATCTGGTCCACAGAAACTTGCCATATTTGGATAAAGGCTAATCTCTCTCAGAACCTGGAGTGCTCACTCTCCAGCAGGCACCCCAATCTGAAATCCGGGGCACACATGTTCACTGCTGCTGTCTTAGGAGCATCACTGTAGATACTTAGGGGATGTGCACCCAGGAGCAGTCAAACACCAGGAACACAGCTTTAGAAGGCAGATGCTGGGTTGATGGGGGAGCAGGGAAATCACAGCATGCAAAAACAAGACAGGCATCCTCAGGGAAACCTGACTGACTACTAGCCCCAGAGCCTCAACAGCTATCTTAGGGCTGGAAAAGAGGACAAAAACACTTAAAGAAACCTAATGTCATTGCTGGGACAGGTGTGGTGGTGCATACCTGTAATCCCAGCAAACAGAAGGCTGAGGCAGAAGAATTGCCCTCAGGTAATTTTCAAATAGCACAAACCTAGCCTGGGCAACCAAGTGATAAAATGGCTGGCATGCCTCCATGCTCCATAGTACATTGACCACAGGGACCAATGGCTTGGCTTCAGGCTGGTTTGTGCTGAAGGAACTTTTTTTAAGTACATAAAGCTAGTAAAAGTATGCAAACTTCTCTAGGCTCTCATTTTGTCCAGTTGGCTGAAGGACCTGTTTGTATAAGGAAGCTTTGAACTCCACACATCTCCAGATGCAGAGGACACTAGAATCCATCAGCATGCTCAAGCAGAGGTCACCCCTCCCATGGGTTGCCTAGGCAAGTAGGGACAGATGAGCCTCTTTGGTGATTGCAACTCTGGCTCCCTATGGCTTTGCTGAGGCTACAATGGGAGACCCTTTGCTCTGACAGGTAGCGAATACCTAATAGAGACAGTAAGTTTCCACAGTAGGAAGGGCCATAATGTTCCGTTCCAACATATACAAACTGCATGTGCAGCTCCTGTGTATGGTACAGATATAAAAGTGTGCAAGTCAGGTTCTACACAGCAAAATAAATGGAATTTAATGGGGGAAAAGACAGGCAGAGATGTTGAGCCATACATCCACTGGTGAGCAAGATGACAGGAGGGTGCATCCTACCACGCTCTCTTGAGCCAGGCCTGGTGGTCTATGGCTGTCATGCCACAGAAGTCTACCAACAACTTGAAACAGTTTCCAAAGTTGACACCCCTGTGGCAAAGTGAAGAATGGACCAAAATGAGAATGGACCAAAATAGCAGAGCCTGGGGATGCTCTGGCAGCTGTAAAGTTGTCTGGCATAATGGGAAGGAGGCCATTTATTCAGGGAACAAACATTTCTAGCATGCTGGGTGAAGAGGCTCTGGAAGCAGAGCCCAGCAGCAAGAACTCTAAGGAATGGGGCAGAATGGTATGGTGGAATCAACAAGTTTTTAGTGTCTGAAAAAGTCACTTTTTGCTGTTTGTGATGATGGCAGAGCAGCAGCCACTTTGGAGAGTGTGCTGAATACACGATCACATACACTTTCCTGCCTGCTGTTTAGATTAGTACGCAGAGACTAAAGCAGCCCTCCTTGTCCCAGAGCAGCCTATTTGCCATACCTGTCCCAAGATGCTGAACTCTATGCCTCCCCTATTCTGACAGCAATAGGATTTCCTTGTTTTCACTTGTAGCAAGCCTGGCACCTTCAGCCTGAACACGCCAATACATCCCTTTTAGAGTTGAAACTATGGATGAAACCTTGTAGAGAAAAGCTGAAACCTGCTGTACTGACAAGACAACGTAGGACTAGATATCCAGTTCCAGATCCAGCTCCGATCAGTATTAGTTTCTCTGACTCAAAGCAGTAACTATCACAATAACCAAACGATTCATTATGTAAATATCTCTTGGGAGATCCTGACTTTGCATCAGGAGTTTTACCTTGAAGATAAACAGGAATGCATATATATTTTGAGACAAGGTCTTTCTTGCTGTGTAGACTTGCCTGATCACTGGGCTGGTGTTGAACTTGTGGCAATAATCCTCCTGTGTGTTGGGATGACAGGCATATACCACTATGACCAGTGGCAACTTGTCCAAAAGTGACACATGGCAAGTAGGAGCTTGCCACAGAAAGCTGCTAGTGGTACGAAGTCCAGTGAACCGAAGTGCACACATGCCAAAATGTTTGCTTTTGAGTTACAGCATAAAGGAAAGAAGTAAAACTCTGTGACTGATCTGCTTCTGCACAGAGGTGCCTCTCAGAGCTGAGCCAAATCTCCTGGCCCCTTCCTGTGGTATAGCAGCTACACCCTACGGTGGCCTGTGGGTCCTCACCTGAGCTGCCTCTCCCACACACTGACTCCTCTGCAGTCACATTCCCAAGGAGGGGTCATTAACCTTGTGTGGGTCAAAACACAAAATACCTGTCACAACTTGGATTTCTGGGTCCCACCCCAATTTCTGTTTCAGCATGTTTGGGGTGGGTAGGCCTGAAACAGCATTCTGGCCACTCTTAGGTGATGATGGTCTATGTATCCTATTTTGTGAGTCAGCTTCCAAAGGTAACTTTCTTTTGCAGCTGGTGATGGGAATCTTGAGACAGTGATGAAAAAACAGCACTGTAAACACCATGTGTAGTAATCGGAGGAATATTGCCACTTAAACATGCTTCTCAGTGTGAAAAGTAGTCATGTAGCCTACGGTACTTTTGAAAGAAGGTAGATGACATCATCTGTCTTACAGTTCAAGAGTGGATGACAAGAGATCAAGGAAGAACCACTAATGTACACATACAGATTTTTCACAATTATACCTGTTTGAAAGATTTTCTGGCCAAAACAGCATACAAGATAAGGACATTTGCAAATGATGGCCAATGTTCTGACCTACAGGCTTTTCTGTTTGTAATCAAAGGTAGTTCAGAGACTTACATCAGCATCATTGCCTGGCCTCTTAACTACACCTGTTACCCTCCCAGTTAGCTGCCCTGTGTGTGGAAGCAACCTGTAAGCAGGCATTCCTATAACAAGGAAATTTGACTCCTTAGTGCTTAAACCAACAATGACTGATGGGAATTTTTATTCATGTGGAATTGACAATTGGGAGTAAGAGTCAGTTTATACCAGATTCTTTAGGGTTTTGGAATTCTTATTCAATTAAAAACATTTTTATGCCAAGTGTGGTGCACGCCTTTAATCCCAGCACTCGGGAGGCAGGCAGATCTCTGTGAGTTCAAGGCCAGTCTGGTCTACATAGTGAATTCCAGGACAGCTGGGCCTACAGGGAGACCCTGTCTCAAAAAGACCAAAAGAAAAATAAAAAAATTAAAATTTCACTAATTTAGTGTGTATGTGTGTGTGAGTTGTCAGTTACCATTTGGGTGCTAGAAGCTGAACCTGAGTCCTCCACAAGAGCAGCCAAGTGCTCTTGACCACTGAGCCCCTTATTTGCATTCTTGAATGCAAGAAAAATTTCCAAGAACAACAAAGTAGGAATTTGGATTCTGATACTACTTCTAGAATTAAAAGTGGTCAAGCAGATGGCTCAGTGACTTAAGAGCACTTGCTGCTCTTCCAGATAACCCACGTTGAATGGCTTGCAACCACCCATAATACCAGGGGATCCAAAACAAGCCTTTTCTGGCTTCTGTGAGCACCTGCACACATGTGGCATACACATACTCAAACACACACACACACATATATAAATACATCTTAAAAAAAAAAATGGGCTCAGCAAGTGATCAGTCCCTGCTGCTACAAAGGAACAGGCTTCTCACACACACTGGTGGGGGGCAGTGTTGGGGATCATGCCCAAGGCCTTGTCTATGCTAAAAAATACTCTACCACTCAAAGAGATTTTGGACTGTTGTGTTCTCCAAGTGAATAAAAATACCATGACCCCTACTCTAGTTTCCTAGTTATTTATGGTCAAGAGAAAGTAAAGGAAGCAAACTTACCTAACATCTCTTCTTTTAGTCTTTCATTGCGTTCTTCAATTTGCTTAGGTAATCTCTGAAAGAGTAAGAGAAAGAGTTTGATGAAAAATACTTTGCCTTTAATTTAAAATTAAGAAATGTTTAAAAATCTAATGTAAAAAGCATGTTAACTATGTATATGATCCCGATAAATAAAAGGAAAGCATTTATGTATGCTGTAAATGAGCTACAACAGGGGAAAGTCTTGCCTGTTAACCGTTATGTTCTTGGCTCACTTTTTAAGGTTTTTAGACCAAGCTGGCCTTATACTCAAGAGATCCACCTGCTTCTGCTTTCTGAGTGCTGGGTTTACAGACATGCACCACCATGAGTTCCAGGCCAGCCTGGGCTATATATATGGAGATCCCATCTCAAAAAAACCAAACCAAATTAAAAAAAAATTATTTTTAAACTATTTTGATTTATTTATTTTGATTTTCTGTGTATGAGTATTATTATGCCTGCATGTGTGTGAGTACACCTGTGTTGTGTAGTGCCAACAGAGGACAGAAGGTGGTGTCAGATGTCCTCGAACTGGAGTTATGGACAGTTGTTAGCTGCCATGTGGGTGCTGGGAATCTAACCTGGGTCCTCTGCAAGAGCACCTAGGGCTCTTTACCACTGAGCCGTCTCTCCATCCCATAAAACCAAAATTTAGAAAAAGTTTGCATGTGTACTGGTTAGTTTTGTCAACTAGAGACCCCTGGGAAGAGGGAACCTCAACTGAGTAATTACCTCCATCAGACTGGCCTATGGGCCTGTCTGTGAGGCATTTTTAAAAAAATTTTTTAAAGATTTTTATGGGGTTGGAGAGATGGCTCAGCAGTTAAGAGCACTGGCTGCTCTTGCAGAAGACCTGGGTTCAATTCCCAGCACCCACATAGTAGCTGATAACAGTCCATAACTCCAGTTCTAGGGGATTCAACGCCCTCTTCTGACCTCCACAGGCACTGCATGACATGGGTATACTTACACACACACGCAGGCAAAACACTCATACAAATAAAATAAAAATGATTTTTATCTTTATGTGTGTGTTTTGCCTGAAAGTGTACCATGTATGTGCAATGCCTTCAGAGGCCAGAAGAGGACACTGGATCTGGAATTATAGCCTGCTGTTAGCCACCATGTGTGTGCTGGGAATTGAACTGCAGTCCTCTGCAAGGGGAGCCAGCACTCTAAACTGCTGAGCTATCTCTCCAATGGGGCATTTTCTTGATTGTCGGTTAATGTAGGAAGGCCCAGCCCACTGTGGGTGGTGCCATCTTTAAGTGGGCCTGGGCCTTATAAGTAGCTGAGCAAGCTAGTAAGCAGCATTCCTCTGTGGTTTCTGTCTCAGTTCCTGACTCTAGGTTCCTGCTTTGCCTTTCCTCAACGAAGGATGTTCTGTAAGCTGAAATAAACCTTGTCCTACCCAAGTTGTTTTTGGTTATGGTGTTTTATCACAGTAATAGGAAAGTAATATAATAAATATAATTAATATATATATTTTGCACCTTCACAGAAGACTAGGGATATAGTTCAGCTAGCTGAGTGCTTGTGCTTGTCTAGCATGAATGAGGTCCAGATTTCATCCTCAGTTATCACATAAACTGGGATGGTGGTATAAGCCTATAATCTTGGCACTTGGGAAGTAAGGCAAGAGGATGAGAAGTTCAAAGTTATCCTCAACTACATAGGGAGCTGGTCAACTGGTGCTGTCTCAAAACCAAAAAATCCCTAACTTGGCAAGGAAAAAGGCTACGATATATTAAACTAAGATTTTTAAAAATTATTTTATGTGTATGAGCATACTGCCTGCATGTATGTAAGTGCACCCATGTTGTGTAGTGTCCACAGCAGAGAGAAGGCGGCACTGGATCCCCTGGAACTGCAGTTACGGACGACTGTTAGCCACCATGTGAGTGCTGGGATTGAACCCTGGTCCTCTGCAAGAGCAGCCAGTGCTCTTAACTGCCGAGTCATCCCTCTAGCCTAATTAAACTATGGTTTGTTTTTTTTTTTGGTCTTTTTGAGACAGGGTCTCCCTATAGCCCCAGCTGTCCTGGAACTCACTATGTAGACCAGGCTGGCCTTGAACTCACAGAGCTCCTCCGGCCTCTGCCTCCCCAGTGCTGGGATTAAAGGCGTGTGCTACCACGCCCGACAAACTATGTTTTTTTTTTAAAAAAAATATTGTTTATTATTTTATGTGTATGAGTGTATTGCCTGCATGTATGTGAGTGCACCCATGTCGTGCAATGCTGCGGAGGTCAGAAGAGGGCTTCAGATTCCCCTGGAACTGGAGTTAAGGACAGTTTGCAGCCATCATGTGGGTGCTGGGAATCGAGCCTGGGTCCTCTGCAAGAGCAGTCAGTGCTCTTAACTGCTGAGCTGTCTCTCCAGCCCCTAAACTATGATTTTTTTTTTAAAGAACTGGGGTTTTTGTTTTTGAAGCCAGGGTCTTACTCTGTAGCAGCCTAGCCTAAAAGTCACTGTAGTAGTCCTGCTGCAGGCTACAAGTGCTGAAATTATAGGCCTGAGCAATCATCTCTACCACACATTTAAAGCATTTTATTCAGGGCTGGAGGGAGGGCTCAGCGTTTAAGAATACTGGCTGTTCTCGGAGAAGACCCAGGTTCGAATCCCAGCACCCACATGGCAGCTAACAACTGTCCGTAACTCTACTCCCAGGGGATCCAACAGCCTCTTCTGACCTCCGCGGGCATTGCACGACATGGATGCACTTACCTACATGCAGGCAATACACACATACATATAAAATAAAAATAAATTAAAAAAAAAAGAATTTTACTCATTTTCTTCTAGATGTAAAGTATTCTTTTTTAAAAAAATATTTTTTATTTATTATTTTAATTTTATGTGTAGGTGTGTATTGCCTGCATGTAGGTTAAGTGCACCCATGTCATGCAAGCCCTGAGGACAGAAGAGGCTGTCGGATCCCCTGGAACTAGTTAGTTGTTAGCTGCCATGTGGGTGTTGGGATTTGAACCCGGGTCTTCTTTGAGAACCACCAGTGTTCTTAACCGCTGAGCCCTCTCCAGCCCCAGATGTAACGTATTCTTATCAACACTGAGAAAAATGTTAGTAAGTCTGCTTATCTATTTTTATTGACAGTAAACAATCTGCAGGTATGCTCTGTAGGAATGATGGGAAATCTTATGCAGTAGGGTTCAAATGTCCTTGGGAACTGGGGAGAAACTGTAGATGAGCTGAAAAGGTGATGTAGGGAATGGAGAGGTGAGGTCAAATAGTGTACCTGGACAGCTTCAGTGGAGGGAGTACCAGCATGCAAGGAGAGGGACCCACTATGTCCACTCTTCTAATTTTCAAGGAGAGTCAGACTTGATTTTTGTTTAATCTTCCCAATTGTAAATGTTGGTAACTTAATAGCCTTCCCCTGCCTGCTGGTTTGCAACCTCTTGCTGCAGCTTGGGGATTCTTGATCCACTCTTAGTAAGTCTGTTCAGTCTGCCAGTGGAAAAAATGGTTTTAGCTGGGTATGGTAGTACATTCATCCCTATAATCCCAGAGGTTCAAGCAGGAGATCTACGCTAGCCTGTGCTACAGAGCTGGACTTTGTTTTGAAAAAGAAGAAAGAAAAGAGTTTTGTTTAGCTTGGCATGTTAGTGCATGGTTTTAATCCCAGCACCCGGGAAGGACAGGTAGATGGATCTCTTGAGAACTCAGTTCACACAGTGAGTTTCAGGCCAGCCAGGGCTACATAGAGAGACCTTATCTCAAAAAACAAAATATTGCCAGGCATGGTGGTGCATACCTTTAATCCCAGCACTTGGGAGGCAGAGATAGGCAGCTCTCTGTGAGACTGAGGCCAGCCTGGTCTACATAATGAGTTACAGGCAAGCTGGGACTAGGAAGACCCTGTGAAAAAAGGGGGGTAAGCCTGGCATAGTTGTACTTGCCTATACTCCCAGCATTCTGGAAGCTGGAGCAGGAGTATTTCTCTGAGTTTGAGGCTGTGCTGGATAGCTTTAGTGTCAACTTGACACACCTGGGTTAAGGGAGCCTCAATTGGGGAATTGCCTCCATTGGACTGGCCTGTAGCCATGTCTGTGAGGCATTTTTTTGATTGTTGAGTCATGTGGGAGGGCCCAGCCCACTGTGGGTAGTGCCACCCCTGGGCAGGTAGGCCTGTGTTGGATAAGAGAGCAAGCTGAGCAGGGGCTAGGGGAGCAAGCCAGTAAGCAGCGTTCCTCCATGTCCTGTACTCTGGTTCCTGCCTTGAGTTCCTACCTTCGGCTCCCTGATGAACTGTGATCCAGGAGATGTAAGATAAATAAACCCTTTCCTCCCCAAGTTGGCAGTGGTCAGAGTGTTTTGTTATAGCAATGAAGAACAAACTAGGACAGACACCGTCCTGCATTAGCAAAGCAGGCCAGGGCTATACATCAAGATTTAGTTTCACCCCCTTACCATCCCTAAAAACTTTAGTATGTCAAAGTCAGGGTTTTTCAAACTTATCTGAACATCCCTTACTTTGGGGATATTAACACATAAATGTCTATTCTCCCTCTGTAGTACATATGTTAGAGCTGCTCCATGTATTAAAAATAATAAAGGGGGCTGGAGAGATGGCTGAGTAATTAAGAGCACTGGCTGCTTTTGAAGGGGACCCAGCTTTGGGTCCCAGCACCACGTGGGGGCTAACAACCTTCTGTAACTCAGTTCTAGGGGATTGGATGTCCTCTTCTGGCTTCTGAGGGCACTGCATGTATGTGGTACATTTATATACATGCAGGCAAAACACTCATATATACATTAAAAAAAAAAAGGGCCACAAGATGCTCAGTGGGTAAGGCACTTGCTGCCAAGCCTGAAACTGAGATCAATCCCTGGACTCCTTGTGGATTCCCATGAAGCTGTTCTCTGGCCTCCATCCATGCATTGTGGCATACTTCCCCACTACCCCTAGTAAGTGAGGAAGAAAACAGTAATAGTGAGTGCTTATAACAGCCATTTGAAGAAAGGAGGTTAGCTAGGATATGTTCAACTGGAAATGCACTGGGCGTATGAAACCACAGATACTGGTGAGTAAACAAGGAAAGATGGACAGAAAACTACAAATCTATCACCCATAAGGCTAAGAATCACTGGGTACTAGTCTGTATAAGAACAGAGGACAAGGTTTCCTGAACAGAACAATGAAAGCATTTCTTGTTAATCCCAATGCCTACAGAAGCCACTTTAATTTATTTTTTAGCTTAGGTGAACTCAAACACATGATTCTCTTGCCCCAGCACTGGGATTACAGGTGCATGCCACCACATCTGGTTACTATGCATTTTGATAAGCATAAAAATGGAATTTAGTGTGACCTGAAGCTTACAGTCACTGAGTATCAAACAAAAGGAACAGAAAATATTTCTTAAAAAAGATTTATGTTTTGGCTGGGTGTGTAGGGACACACCTTTAATTCCAGCATTTGGGAGGCAGAAGTAGGCAGATCTGTGAGTTTGAGGCCAGCCTGGTCTTCATAGGAAGTTGTAGGCCAGGCAGGGATACATAGTGAGACCCTGTCTGAAAAACCAAAAACAAAAACAAAGAAGTTTTACCATACAAGCTTCTCTTGCTTGATGTATTGATGGATCCTTTTCCAATATAGATTTGTAATCTTCCAGTGCTTCATCTAGTTTGTCTGTTTTCTCATACAACTCTGCTCTCCTCAGTATTGCACGTATGTAGCTGGGGTTTAACTGAATTGCTGTAAAAAAGAGAAGAAATTGTTATTATCACATAGAAGGGGCTGTGTATCTCTGGCTATACTGGTTCATTCTTTTTTTTTTTTTTTTTGCTTTAAATGAATAAATCTTTTAAAAGGTTTGTTGAGATGTAATTGACATATGGTAAACTACACATTTTTAAATTGTACCGTTTGCAGTTTTGGCATAGGTGTACACTGATGAAGCAATAATAATTTTAAGAATATGATGTTAGAAGCCAGCTGCTGCTCAGGCCACCCACAGGCATCCTCCCGAGACATGGTTTGGGACTCTGTAGCCAACAGACTCCCTGAGTTCCTCATCTAGGGGAAGTGAGTTTATATCAAAGGGGCATTCTTTTGTTTTTTGACACAGGTTCTCCCCACATAGCACTGGCTAGCCTGGAACACAGAGGTTCATCTGCCCGTCTCCCTAGGATCAAAGGTGAGTGCCACCAGGCACAGCTCATTCGTTCCTTCTTCAACCATACTGAGGATATGTAAGGAAAAGGCATCTGTTACATCTGAGGTGGGCAAGCTTCATTCTTTGTTAAGATTTTGCGCTTTAAGGCCAGACAGAACTTCTGTCGTACCTACTCAACCACGAAGCACCAAAGCAGATGTAGACAATGGGGAAAGAAATAAGGATTGCTTCATTAAAAATGTTATAGAGCTGAGCCACCTTCTAGTGACTTACCAAAATGAGAAACACAAAGAGAAAAAGAGAGGCCCCACTGTGTGTTCTCTAGGCCTTGTAAAACACAAGTTGTTCTTTCAGCCACATGCAAATCTACAAAGGTGATAAAGGGAATGGGTGCTGCTCAAAAAGGAATTCCCCATAAAGTTACCCTGGCAAAACTGGGAGAGTCTACAACATCATTCAGCATTCTGTTGGCATTGCTGCTAACAAGCAGGTTAAGGGAAATATTCTTGCCAAGAAAATTAATATACGTACTGAGCATAATTATGCACTCAAGAGCTGAGACAGCTTCCTGATCAGGAAAACAGGAAGCTTGAGAGAAAGGAACCTGGTTTCAATTGAAGTGCCAGTCCCCTCCACCCAGAGACGCATACTTTGTGAAAACTAATGGAAAGGAGCTGAGCTGCTGGAGCCTATTCCCTGTGAATTCATGGCTTAATGTACAAAAAGGAATAAAAGACCTGGACTGTTTTTTCTTTAAAAAATGTTACAGAGGGGCTGGAGAGATAGCACAGTGGGTAAGAACACTGACTGTTCTTGCAGAAGACCCAGGTTTGAATCTCAGCACCCATATGACAGCTAACAACTGTCCCTAACTCCAGTTCCAGAGGATCCAACAGTCTCTTCTGTCCTCCTTGGGCATTGCACAACATGGGTGCACCTACATGCAGGCAATACATGCATACACATATAAAGTAAAAATAATAAATAAAATATTTTAAAAAATGTTATAGGAGCTGGAGAGATGGCTCAGTGGTTAAAAACACTTGCTAGCCGGGTTCGTGGTGCACGCCTTTAATCCCAACACTTGGGAGGAGGCAGGCGGATCCTCTGTGAGTTCAAGGACAGCATGGTCTACAGAGTGAGTTCCAGGCAGCTGGAGCTACAGGGAGACCCTGTCTCAAAAAGAAAGAAAAAAACAAAAAAACAAAAAACAAAAAAACCCAAAAAACAGAAACACTTGCTGTTATTCCAGAAGACCCAGGTTTGAGTCCCAGTACCCATATGTTGACTATCAACCGTCTGTAACTCCAGTCCCAGGAGATGACACCCTCTTCTGGCCTCTGCGGGCACTGCACAACAGGGGTACAGTTACACACATGCAAGCAAAACACTCATACACATAAAATAAAATATTAATGTTATAGACACTGAAATTTGGGATTCTTATACTTTTCATGTCTTTCACAAAACACCCTCATTTTTCTTTTAATTTCCAACAATGAAAATGTCAAAATCTGTGGGTGGTATAAAAACAGGTGGCAGCCTACATCTGGCTTTGGATTGCCAAACCTTGGACTCAACACCAAGTCCTGTTTTCTGGGATCTTGTCTTTCACCCACTCCAGAATATAGAGCTTAGGCACACAGAGAACAACTGAGAGATCTGAATTGAAGGATAACTGCTGCTGACAGACTCTACCACCCTCTTTCTAAGTCTTGATGACTGGGTGGGTTTACATGTCCAACTAGACCTACACTGTTCCTTCCAACTCCTGTAAAACCAGGTCACTGTACTAATCTCTTCCTTTACTGAACCAGTGTTCTAAAATTCATCTTTATTGGGCTTTCAATCAAGTGTTCTACATTAATTTAAAAAAAAGATTTTTATTATTTTAAATTATGTGTGTGTCTGTGGATATAAGTGGGGTGCCTGAGGAGGCCGGCACTGGCATAGAATCAGATAGGTAGACCAATGGAACAGAATAGAAGACCTAGAAATAAACCAACAGTTATGGCCACTTAATTTTTTGACAAAAAGAGACAAAAATGTGCAGCGGAAAAAAGCCTATTCAACGAATGGTGCTGGCAAAATTGGATAGCCACCTAAAAAAGGATGAAATTGGATTCACATCTTTCACCTTATATAAAAATCAATTTGAAATGGATCAAGATCTTAATTTAAATGATAAATGAAATGCTAAAATTGCTAGAGAAAAAATAGGAAGAGCCCTTCAAGACACTGGGCTTGGTAAGAACTTTCTGAACAGAACTCCAACAGCATAGGAACTAGTTCCAACTGTGAGCAGATGGACTACATGAAATTAAAATGTTTCTGCATAGTAAAAGAAGCCATCAGCAGAGGAAACAGCTCACAGAATGGGAGAAAATCTTTACCAGCTATACTTCAGATAGGAATTAATATTCAGCATTTACAAAGAACTGCAGAAATTAAATACCACGGACGTATTTTCAATCAACAAATGGGCTAATGAAATGAATAGGCAATTTATAAAACCAGAAACACAAATGGTCACTGTTTTAATACGTGCACATCCCAGGCTGAATGTGGTGGCGCGTACCTTTAATCCCAGCACTCCAGAGGCAGAGGCAGTCTGGTTTACATGGTGAGTTCCAGGCCAGCTAGGGCTATAGGGAGACCCTGTCTCTCAAAAAGACCAAAAAAAAAAGTGCACATCCCTAGTCACTGGGGAAATGCAAGTTAAACAAATTAAACTACTCTGAGATACTATTTCACCCCATTCAGAACGGCTATCATCAAGAAATCAACGAATGTTGGAGAAGATGTGAGGAACAAGGAACCCTTATTTACTGCTGGTGGGAGTGCAAATTAATACAAGTTGGAAATTCCACAAAAAATTAGAAACAGATACTGGAGAGATGGCCCAGCAGTTAAGAGCACTGGGTCCTCTTGTAGAAGACCAGGGTTCAGCATCCAGCATGCACATGATGACTTAACAACCATCCATAACTCCAGATCCAGGAAATCTGACACCCTTTTCTGGCCTCTGTGGGCAGTACATGCACACGTTGCGCTTACAGACATGAAGGCAAAACACTCAAAACACATAAAACAAAAAACTGCTGCACAAAAAACAAAAAAATGACCCAGCTACTCCAGTCCTAGGCAAAGACCCAGAGAACTCCATATCCTACCATAGAGATAGTTGCATATCTACATGCTTACTGCTGCTCTACTTGTGATAGCAAGAAAATGGAACCAACCTAGATATCTATCTATGGATGAATGATATTGAAAATGTGGTACTTATAGAAAATAGAGCATTATTTACCTATAAAGAAAGAAATCTGCACAAAAATGGATGGACTTAAAACAGCATGTCCTCCCCTCACATGCAGATCCTAGCTAGCCTATAATGTATACATGTAAATATGTTAACAACCACACTGTGGGTATACTGTAACATTTAGAAAGTAGAAAAAGAAAGGACGGAATGCTGGCTATAGGAAACGTGTCGTGAAAGTGGGCATCGAATTACTCTTTCCAGTTTCAGTTTTTTCATGGTGGGTAAGTAAACAAAAGTGAAACTGACAGTGAAAGTGAAAACACTGAGTGAAGCTCTATGACTTGAGAATGGCCATTCTAACTATACAAGTTTAGTGAGATGCACAGCATTTGGAACTGGTCAAGTGTCTGAGTGGCTGCCTTAATCTAGCTGTGTGATGTTTCTATTTGTGAGTTCACTACAATTAAAAAACATCTTAATGGAACTTGGATATCATACAGCAACAGGCTTAATTCACTGGAAGGGTAACTAGCATGATGGTAAGTAGGTATCAAGACTGATTACAGAAGAGACTCACTAATATAGACTCCCTTGGTGTCTTGTGGTGGCACACAACACACCCAACACTTGGGAGGGAGGAGGATTATCAGGACTCTCAGGCTAGCCTGGGCCACACAGTGAGTTCCAGGCCAGCCTGGGCTATATAAAGAGACCCTGTCTCAAACTCAAACTGAACCGAACCGAACCGAACTAAACCAAACCAAACCTGTCCCTCAGCTGTGCCCCTTCCCCACCCATGGACATAAAGGCCAAGAGCAACTAAGATCTTCAATTAATTAGAGTCACAAAGGAAGATAATTTGGAGGCTACAGGAGGTAAATTCTGTTCCACACGAGTTCTGATGCCAAAGTAACTTAAAATATTTCTTCATATATTTACTAATAAGAGAAACAGAAAATTCACTTGAAAGCATGCTTACTCTTAAGATGATTCCAACAAAGTACTTCTGAAAATGCCATGCCATAAAGCTTCCTTAAAAGCTCCACTGGAAGGGGATGGATATGTAAGTGTGTACACCTGAATTTGCCTATTTAGCTGAGGTAATGCTCTTATATGTCAACAGTTTTACCTTTGCTGCAGTCACTGATGGCCATCTCCTTCTTGTCCTAAAAGGAAAGGCAACATTAATATGCATTCCTCTAGATTGATCTCAGGGATTAAAAGGCAAGATCTGATCACTAGGAGCTATAATGTTGTCCAAGAAAATCACATGAAAATACTTGTTACATCCAATATAAAATTCAAAGTTAATGTGAGTTTGTCTTGACCTCAAATGAGCAAGCAGCTTCTAAGACATCTGTAGGACAAGTTACATTAGAATGCTGACAAGGGAACACTTGTGGTCAATAGACAAAGTTGACACAAAGGATAATGGAACTGATTATTCTTCACATTGGCTAGCTGCTATACTATTACACCTGAAGTGGAATCCTGCACGAAGAACAAAGATGGTCCAACTCTAGGGCACAGTGTGACTTATATAGGCTCTGCTACTTTCCTTTTCTGGTGCTCAGTTTCTCACATCAGTATGAACAGAATGTTGGATGACCATCTTTGACTTTAAATATAAATGTTCAAGCCAGGCGTGGCAGTACATGCCTTTAATCCTGGCATTTGAGAGGCAGAGGCAGGTCAATCTTTGTGAGTTCAAGGCCAGCCTGGTCCACACAGTGAGTTCCAGGCCACCTGGGGCTACAGGGAGACCCTGTCTCAAAAAATAAATAAATAAATAAATAAATAAATCTCATTATTTTAATCTAGCCATACTAATTATTTTGACTAAACAGGAAAAGCAGACAAATCTATAACGAATCTTACTAATAGTCCCAACATGGTAAAAATAAACACATCTGTACTCCACACATTCTGCTGTACCAAGTTCTTAATTTGGAAAATACAAAGTACTTTTCCCCAACACCTAGCTTGCACTGATAGACACCTTTTGTCCCAAGTGTTAGTCACTTCTCCTTGCATTCATACTGTTAACAGAAAAAATCAGAGCCTTAGTAATAAGCACCTTTTAGTCATGAGCTCTGACTATCCCCAGCCTTTGAGTCTTTAATCTGCCCTAGAGGGAACTCTGTCAGCCTGCCTTCCACCAAAGTATTCACTCAGATGCTTTAATGAAGAGTATTTACAGGGGCCTTAGTCAAGTTTTCCAAAATACTTTTCTTGCTTCTCTACACCTTTTCATCAGGGAAATATGTGGGCAGGAAAAGAGAAACCACAACTTTAAGCTGGTTTTGGAGAGAAACTACCCTATGAAACAATGGAAGATCATGCACTGAAGAAAAAGCCAAGGATTCCTACCTGTTTCATCCTTGCAGCAGCTCTGTTTGAAAACAGAACCGACCTGTCTTTCTGGAAACAGGATGGGCATATCTGAAGGGCTTGACTGTAAGAATTCTCAGCCTCTAGGTAATCTGAGGATGATAAGGTAAAGGAGAAGCAGTCTTTATGATTTTATTTAGTAGATCTCAGAATGTACTGCTTCCCATTCACAGGGTCAAAGTTTCAAATGAAAAGATAGTCCTAGCCTAGCCTATTGTTTCAGGCAATAAACATCATTTCTCCCTTTTCCCTCAGTAAAGAAATAGTGCTTTGCTCCTCCCCTCCTCACCAGGCTTGGTGAACTACTAAACACGCTGCCAGGTTCAAGGTTCAGAGAAGCAGCATGCCCTAGTTGTTCAGCTTTCAATTGGTTTAATAACTTAGAAAGAAATTTCCAAAGGCGTTTAAGGAACTGGATAGATGAAAGACTAAATTCTGAGGTCCATGCCTCAAGGTGAAGAAAAAAATTGAAGGGTTGGGAGTATAGCTTACTGACAGAATGACTGACAGAATGCTGGCCTAGTATGTACATAGTCTTGGGCCCAGTCCTGAGCTCTGGAGGAGGGGCAGTGGTTAAGAGCACTGGCTGCTCTTGCAGAGGACCCAGGTTCCATTCTAGCACCCACATGGCGGCTAACAACTGTCCACAACTCCAATTCCAGGGGATCCAATACCTTCTTCTGACCTCAGCATTGCATGGCATGGGTACACTTACATACATGCAGGCAATACATTAATACACATAAAACAAAAAAACTAAAATTTAAAAACTAATTTTTTTTTTTTTTGGTCTTTTTGAGACAGGGTCTCCCTGTAGCCGCAGCTGTCCTGGAACTCACTATGTAGACAAAGCTGGATTTGAACTCACAGAGATCTGCCTGCCTCTGCCTCCCAAGTGCTGGGATTAAAGGCATGCACCACCACGCCCAGCCTAAAAACTACTTTTAGAGAAAATTAATCTACAAATCACGAGAAAATATGAATACTACTATACTGCTAAAGCATACGTACACTGAACTGTGACAGCAGCTAACATAACATCAAATAATTTCTCCAAGTTATTAGAATGAACCCCTACTTAAGCAGATATGGGAAATGCAAAGACACAAAGAGCACTGTTAGGGTTTGAATGCAGTTTGTTTCCCCAACGTTTCATGTGTTGGGAACTTGTTCTTCTTTGCGATGGTGGGAGGGGCTCTTTAAGAGTGGGGTCTACTGGGAGTCCTTAGGTCACTGGTGGTGCCACCCTGGGAGGGGGAACCAGTGTAGTGCACTGGAGTGAATTTGTAGGGCAGCAAACATTAGTCTATCTGTGGCTGTTTGGTTTGAGATGTTATCTCTTCTTTTTCCATACATTTCTACCATCCACCATCCGCCACAGGGCCCTCACCAGAGCCGGCACTATACTTTTTGGACTTTCAGTCTCCCAAACTATGAGTTAAATAAGCCTCTTCTTTTTATAGTTAGCCTACCTCAGGTATTTTGTTACAGAAACTAACAGCTAACACAACAATTGAAGAAAAAGGCAACCAGCTGGCTATGGTGACACTCCTTGTAAACCCAGGACTTGGGAGGCTGAGGCAGGAGTACCATAGGTTAGTCTAGCCTGAGATAGAAGGCAGGACATTGGCTTAAAAAACCAGAAAGAAAAAACAAAACAAAAAAAACAACAAAAAATACCCATGTAAATTATTTCCTATGCTGCCAGGTAACAAAATGAGAAATGGGGACTCTATTTTTACAGCAATTCATTAAGGTTAGGGTCTCCCAGGCAACAGCTAAAGAGTTTTATCCCCAGTTTTTGGAGTAAAAGATAAATGACAGAAAAGAAAAACTATGCAGGTATAAGAGACATGTGGTAACTGGCCACTGTCAGCTGAGGACCATTTAAAGCTGGAACAGAACAAAATTTCCAGTGTCGGGAAGCAGCACTGTAAGGAAACAGCTTGTTTGCCAGGCATTCCCGGGTGTTCTTTGGCGTGGCCTCAACAAGGGGAGTACACTCACCTCCTCTCTTAAACTGCTCATTTCCCTCCTCCTTTAGTTTAGTGCTCTCCTCTCTTCTTTTCTGAAAGAGATCAAAGAATTATATAATTTTTCACAATATTATAAGTGAAGGAAAAAGCTAAGCTTTAAGAAAATACTCCAATCTAGTTTGTAAGCAGAACTACATCATCTTTATCAAAATCCCAACTAGTAATGTAGAAGAACAAGACTGAGGTGCGGCGGCTCATGCCTGTCCACCATTCAGGAGATTAAGGCAGGACTGCTGAGAAACTGAGGCCAGCATGGGTTGTGAGACCCTGTGTCAAAACCCCAAACTGAAAACTGAGTCTTTTCTCTTAGTTTCTAACAATTCAGCAATTTACATAGATGGCTATAAATCTATCAGTCACAAGGGCGGAATGAATTTTACCCTGCAAAGCAAAGATGAACATGCTTAGTCTGTTGTGTGCTTTCTTCAAGGAACATCCTGATAAGTGGTTGCTCCAAGGCAAATCGGTGGAACCATCTGGAAGCCTGCTTCCTACCTTTGAAGTGTTTTTAATTTTTTTTAAAAAAAACAACATACACACACACACACACACACACACACAGAAATCCTCTTCCTCTAAGATCTCTTCATTCAATCCTGAAAAAATATCAAAGGGAAGAAATAAAGTCAGCAGACTATTTTGTGCACAAAGAGAAGCTTAAATCCTAAATAAGTGGTACTCTACCAAAATAAAATCTATTTTTCTGGAGAAGACCTGTCAATATGCTACTGAAATCAGGGTATTTTCCAAATGTATTATTGTATATGGATTCACTTCAATCTAGTAAGGAAACTAAAAGGTAGGTGCAAACTGACCCTAATTTTTGAAGTGTCTACTGTATGCCAGACACACAACACATACAATAATTCATTTTAGGATACATTTTACTCATAGAGCAGTTGCCTAGCATTTATGAGGTTCTGGGTTTAATTGCAAGTACCAAAATCCAACCAACCAACCAACCAACCAACCAACCAGCCAACCAAAAAACAAACTAACCCCTAACCCAAACCAGCCACCTCCCAGCCCCAAGATGGTGTATCTAAGGAAGGGCTATTGGTAGTAGTAGTGATAAAAGACAAAAGGAACAAATAAAAGAAAAAGGAATAGCACTAAGACTATATTTTCCCAGTACCAACCCATGAGAGGTGTTTGGATTGTAATGTTCTCTACCACATTTGTTACAGGTTTTGAACACCAGAAAAGCACAATGCTAAGCAAAGCACATTAGGAGCAAACAATCAATGGGAAGCTTAAAGCATAAGGTAAGGAGACAGCTAGGGTGCAAAGCAGCCTGATGAAAAAACAGTAGATGGAAGTGGTCTCTTAGTCTGGCCAAGACAGGGCTATAACACTAGCAAATAAAATTCTGGCCATCTTGTCTTTGCCTCTCTTGATCTAGACTCCAGGTCCTGGTCAGAAGTATCCAGGAAGACACACATAGGTCACCTCACTTGCCCCTTAAGAAATGGAGTGACAGACACAGGTTGCAGTCATTCAACAAGATGACAACGCAGAATTCCTCCAAGTAGGAACATGGGGATGAATGCAGATGATCCAAGAAAATCCCATAAGAAATGTAGTTAATGGTTGTTTTAATGCAGAAACCCTTAAGTTTAAGAACATTCAACTTCCTCTGCTTTTAACTCTAACCTCAACCTCCTTTCTATTCTCTAATCTGCTCTCCAGAGGCAACTCATAAGGAAGGTTCTGTGTTCAGATGAAACAGACAACCAGTTGAGACAGCTGGGAGGATAGGGAGAAAGACATAACAGACCACTCAGTCCTTAGTAAATTTATTTTTAAAAAAACATTTTATTATTTTTATTTTATGCGTATGAGTGTATGTAGGAAACCAGAGTGCAGGCTCCCTGCTCTGTGGGAAAGCATCTTGGTCAACAACCCTTAGCTCATCTTCTTGTCCTGAACAAATAATTCAGCTATCCCTGGCTAAGAGATTAGGCCAGGTTAAAGGTTTGCTCCTGAGCTAAAAGCTAAAAGTTTACCATGCTTTTAGATCTAAGAAAGAAAACATTGTGGCCAATAAATTACTGGATGGGCATTGATAACCTTGAGTAAAAGTTAAGAATCCTTCTGGTGCCAACTAACAGACTAAATGTCCTGTTGGGAAGACACAGGTCCCAGAGTTTGACTCTGTCGCCGATTGCTCGGTCTGCTTCAAAACACCTGATGATGCAAGTGGTGACAAATTTTAATTATTCAGGATCAGGAAGCTGGTTGCCTATTTGTTTTGTTAAAAATGATAAGTCTGGGTATGTACAAGTAGGTGACCATGTCCTTTGGGACAAGGTGGATGCTCTACCAATGCCAAAATGCTACTGCCAAGAGATAATAGAATGGAGGAAAAATTTTCTCCACAAGCATTTCCACCCTGTAAGCAGTGACAGATATTCTAAAACTGCTGAGAGCCACCTTACCATCGTGGTCCTCTATCACTTCCATTGTGAGTGTTTTAGCAGGACCTGGCATGCTTTTCCTCCTATGTCTTTGTTTTCTTCCAGTGGCAGGAAAGTTACTTATGAAATCTTTGTGGCAAGTCAAGGCTACTGTGCATAATATGAGATTATGTTCCCTCCCCTAAGAGAGGTGGGTAGTCAAGATGGGTAAGATCTTCTGGGAGAAAGTCAACCTAAGATAGGGTGTGCTGATGGAAGCTCCATGCCAATGACAGGTAAGGCTTTGCTCTAGCAGAAGACAACATAAGACAGTCATGGTCCTTCTGTCCTAGATATAGCATAATCTGGGGTTATAAAAAATAAAAAAGGGGGAGATGTTTGGAGCTATTAATATAAGCACAGCCATTATGTACATTGAGCTGTTTCAGGCTTATTTTATGACCTTTCACCTTGACTCAAGAGTTTGTGTTTTACACACAAGCACTGAATTGTTCTGCCAAGTCAGGAGGAATGTACTGATAATTTAGGGAAGATGGTTAAATGGTGGAATTCACAAGTATTTGACCATTCCTTGACCCGCAGATAAAGGTGGGAAAAGACAGCTGTTGAAGCTAATTGAGCTAGGCAAACTGGTTATCTGATATTCTGCTGTATAAGAAGTCTGAGCT